TGAAGAAATGAAAACGTGAGGATATTAAAGCAGACCTTGTGAATAGAAAGGGGGAGACGCAGAGGAGCAGCAAAGCTGCGTGGACAGTCCGCATCCGTTCTGGCAATCAGACACAAATGGATGGATAGGCGACAGAAGAATCTTCCAAATTTTAAAAACTACACACTAGCTTTATGGACTAAATGCTGTCGTAACATGTAAAACTGCAAAGCAGATTAGCAGTCTGTAACTCCAGGGAAAGGAAATCCCGGGACAAAATACCTCTAAAACCAAAATCAGTCAAAGGGAGAAATAAAGTTTAAAACCCACTTACTGCTTACAAACCGCAGTCTGGGGCCGTCTCTCTTTCCTGCTCCGGCAGAAGCAAACCAGCCCACCCTCAGTTGCCCAGGCAATTACCCGTGGATATGGAGATGAACCTTTCCCCACCCCTGAGGAACGCCTAATGATATGCAGATGTACTAAAGCCAGGCGAGATATTCTGAAAATATTACAGTTTTACCCACACAGTCTTATCACCACAATTCCATATCTACCTTCCTTATGAACATCTCTGTGTCATGGCAATCGCTAGCATTGGCGTTTTAGTTTTACATGTTAATAAATATTGTCTGCTTTTAATATGCATTTATTTTTCTCATTATTATGTTACTACATATCACTCGTTTGGCTGCATTTAAAAAGAATTTATTTTGTTATCAATGGCAGAAATCAATTTACAGAACTGAACAGAGCAGGAAAAATGTGAAATCTAAGTATTTGGGTTGGTTATTGGCTCATTAATAACTCTCATTTTTCTCCAAACTTGTGTAATTTAAATGCATCTGAAATGATACAGGATTACAAAGTACATTCTTACAGTGATAAGTACTGTATCTAGGATCTGAGTTTGTTGTTACCACTTATTTAAAATAAACAAGCAAATTCCATTGAGATATGGTCTCATTTTCAGGAATGGACTGTTAGTAGGCAGCAGTGAGCACAACAATTAACCGTATCAGCACATTAAAGCCTAATGTCTAAACTCAACATAGCAGCAAACACACATCCTACCATGGCCTATTAAGTAATCAGAAATGATTGCAGATAATTAGCTTGTGAACAGCTGCATAAACTCAAGTATTCCATTTTTTATCAGGCGTGGAGGCTTACAGTATGAGAAAGGTTTATCAGCTATGTCTTGAACTAGGTCAGAGAGTCACTGTGAAATGAAACTGGGGACTGGTTCTAATGTTTGATGGCATATTGTCATTTTAAATTTTCTTCTGGTAATACTGATGTTCATGTGAATATAGTTGTACTATGGGAAAAATATGGAAACACAGATAACTAGCAATGCCCAAAAAGTTCTTGTGAAACAGAATAATTTAGAAATCAGTTAGTAAAATGTTTTTAATGAGTGTATATCATTCATACTTATTTGTATTTTTAATTCAAATTTGATTTGCACATTCCCATATATCCCATCTGGATGAGATTGTATTCAGATATATGAATGATGATATTCAATAAATATTGCATTTGAATAACTAAATGAACTTGAAAGGTATTTGTTAAATTAAAAGTACAGTTTCCTTTTTTCTATAGCTTTTTTACTAAAGATAAGATTGGGTGGAACATGGTAACTATCTTTAGAAATCTGACAGACTATTAGGAAAAAGAAAAAATATATGTTTATTCCATACAGGTACAGAAAAGCAGAATAAGAGACATCGGTTTAATAGAAAGGATAAAATCCCCAAAATTGGAGTTCTTTACACTGAAATGGGTACACTGTGAGGTGTTAAGTCCTGCCAGGGATGTCATCAAATAAATGAACTGACCGACCTACTCTAAGGTAGGTGTGGTTGGAAGGGGTCTCAGGTTCTATCAAAGGTTCCTCCAAATTGTGAAATGCCAAGGACTAATCCTCCCAAGGACATGGTTCAGCAATAAATGAATGTATCTTCACTGATGGTGCTGAACTTTTAGGTGTTACCTTCTGAATACGTACATTGAAGATTTTATATTTTGTGCAATTACATTTGACACATTTATTTTGGACAGAAGTTAGTTTTTATTTAAGGGCCTACCAAGGGTAAAAAGTTTGGTAGATGATTGATAGATGATAGATGGTGATAGATAGATGGATAAAGGATAATAAACATGTAATTAAGAATCATGAGTTGTAATCACAGAGAATTAGTTCTGTTGTATGTATATTTGTTTTCTCTCAGTTACCTTCATTTTTATAGCATTAATTAACACATGCACCTGTTGCTGTGGTAGTCTGAGAGTATAGATGAAGAACAATGCTTCAAGGAGTTTAAGGTCTGAGAGACACAGGGTGCAGAGAGGAGACAGGAACAGGAATCCCTATAGCAACCTGAGAGACGCCTCAAGGCTGCTTGCAGGAGGTACCCCTGGAGGTGAGGAGTTTGCCTGCGTCAAACAGGCAGAGATCAGAAGGAGCCTTCAGGCAGAGAACAGTTGGTAAAAAGCGGTTTGCCATGGGATAGAGGCTATTGTGTTATACCTATGAAAGGTAACTAAGCTAAAATCAACCAACTTTGATAGCGGGAATTATTTTCATGTTGTTCATTCATTGTGCATTATTGATTACTCTCACCCAAGTTTCCAAGAGTGTGTTTCTGTAACTACTGTCCATTTCCTAGAGCACTGCTAGGAAAAAATACTAATGAACATGTGGACCAGCTACTTCAGCATCCCCTCAGAGCCTGGTGGTCACCCAGGACCAAGGCCCCGCAGTATTTGCTTTACCTGGCCCTCCTGCCAGCTGGGTCTGTGAGCCACTGTTCCAGAGTGGAATGCTTGCTTGGGCTTTACAAAACGTTTTGATTTACTGTATTAGAAGAAAAAACATGTAATACTTTTTTAGAATGGGTGTCGTATAATTAGGTAAATTAATTTGAAGTAGAATAGGAATCTGAGATAAGGCAATGAATGGACTGGGAATCAGGAGTCCTGGTTTCTGATCCTGACCCTGCCACTAAATAATAATAATAATAATGATCACCATTAAATAATGTGTAACTCTGCCAAGATCCTGAACTTCCCTTGGACCAATCTTCAGCCATAAAACAAGAAGGTTGTATTGGAATGTCTTTCCAGGTCTAAAATACTGTGGTTCTGAACAGGCTTTAACATTCATTATTTGCATAATTAAATAGTTTAATTGTTCCAGTCTCTGTGCAGATCACCTGCAAGTGTTTTCACTTCCTGTGTCTTTTGAAAGCCAGCTGCCCTTGCTCCTGACTGTGTCTCCTGTCCATCACTTAAACCCGAGTAGTTTCTGCCTGCCTGCCCTCTTTGGGGTCCGTACTTGGTTCACCACACAATTATTTAAAATGAGATACTCTGACCCTTATACATCTTAACTCCCGTGAAGGCTCCATGATTAAAAGAGATTTTGAGATGAAAACAAAACAAACAGTATGCATCTCAGAGTGTAGAACGTCCTGTCATGAATGCCAGCTGAACGGCCCCCAGGGATGGCAAGTAAGGGGCTCTCAGGATCACGGACTCTAGACCTGGGGGAAGAAATTACCCTTCCCTTGGACACTTTGAGTTCCCGCTCCCTCCTTCATTCCTCCCTGTCTCAGTTTTGTGAGTGTGTGTGCAGATTTTCTTTCTGCTGAATTGCTTTGTCACCAAATCTTACATATGCTAAACTGCAAACTCCTAAAAGGCCGGATTCAGTATCACCCCACCCCGTAACACTTAGCATAACATCCCAAACAAATAATTTCTCAGTAAAAGCTTAAGCAATACCTGCTTATAGAATCAATGCTTAATGCCTTATGGTCCAGGCCACAGTCAGTAAATTGGTTTTCCTTACAGTCACTGGTGCTTCCTTCCAAAATATTTTACCTGTATTTTGCAAGGAGGTACAGGTTTTCTATCTGCCTGTTTGCTGCTTCATCTGCTCCTGCTCCTTTTCTGTTGTGATCTGTGATGGGGGAGCTAACATAGGCCGGCACTTCCGTTGTATCTTACACAATACAGGGTCTTAGCACTCCATGTTTTATGCCCTGGCACTCCACTGCTAACTCGTCCTTGGGTAATGCAGCTTCTGCCTAGGTGCCCTTGAGACCCACTTAGAGCATGTGCATGGTTGATCTGAAACTTTTCAATAACCCTTCTCTGCCTCAGATAGGAAATGACAGGAGAACGCTCTGTTTCAGCATCGCTTTGCAATCATTGCACCTTTAGGCCTTATGGTCTTGCATCCCCGAATTGGTCTTATCTGCAGGAGCTGATTGTCCCGTGCTTCGCAGTGGGGCTGCGGCCATTACACGTTTCCCAAGCTCTCATTTTGTTTTGGAGTGAACATTGATAATTTTGATCCATGGTCAATTCCAGTGGTGTAAAATCTTCAAAGTTGCTATTCTAAAAATATTGTAAATACTTCACTCCTACATAGTACATCACCTTTGGAATGTAGATTACCTGTAAGCTCTCCTGGTGCCACTCATCAGGGAGCATAAGCAAAAGTCTTTCTGAATAGTCTCAATGTGGGTAAACTGTTCTGTCACAAATCAGTTTTGAGCTACTTATTGCCCCTCACTTTACTCACGGTGTTGATCTAATTTCACTCTCTCAACTTGTGCTTACCCTTGTCTTTCCCCGTCTCTTTCCTCTTTATAAGATATGCATAAATCAATGAAAGGAAGTCTCATAAAAGCTTTCTCTAAACCTCAGATCAGTTCAGGGCCCTCTCTGATTTTTTTGTTCCAGTGAATGTTGTATATTTCTTCTAGAAATAATTACAACCGTAACAAGATCATTTATTGTATAACTAGCTGAATAATATCTGTCTCCTTTTTTAAAATGAATGGTCATTGGCATGAGGACCCTAGCGAGCATTCTATGCATGGTTGTCGAGCTGGTATCCCATTGCTTTTTTCATTTTGGCTGTCATAATTCTGTAAACGTAACCCTTTGGCCTCAGAGCTGGTAAGACCGACTGTTTTGCTGATCAGTGCACCCTCTGCCTGCAGGCCATCCTGCTGTGGATAAGAGTTTGGAATCCAGACTATGGAAACCTCACTCCTGCCCCATCCGCAGAGTGGAGTGATTGGCAGCTGGGCTGCCCACGCTGGACGGAGCAGAACTCACACAAAATGCGGCCACCTGTGCGCCCGTGTCTCTCAGATGCCACCAACCCTCAGCACATTTTCTCTTAAGGTAAGTTGCAGTACAATTGATTGTGATTAGAGCACTTAATCTGTTCTCTATAACTGATTAAGTTCCTGCTTGATTGTGTTACAGCTTCATCCATTTACTTTGATTAGATTGTTGCTGGAAATATGTGGGTACTCTCAGGCTTCTGCTGTTGTCGAATTCCTCAGGGCGTTTCTAAATTTCTGCACCTAATCTTCTCTGCTATTCCTTAGGGTATGTCATTCCTACAGGTAACTAATCTCATCCATTATGTTTTGAGCCTTCCTGATTTTATTCTTGGAGGGCAACTTTATCTCAAACCCCCGGGGTGACTTTCCTGTCCTCGCAGGGACAGCTGCTCCTGGTGTAAAATCTTACATATGCTAAGGGGGGACAATGCCACGTCCTCTTTCTTTTCCTGGTCCCCGTCTCAGAGGAGCGGTAGCAGAGCCTTAACTCATGTCAAGGAGTAAGAGAGCTTTCCCTGCATTTTTCCCTGGGGGCCTGCAATGTAAGTTGTGTCAACATCTTCCAAGTATTAGAGATGCCAAGCAGGCAGTAGCACAGGTTGTTAAAAAATAACAAAAGTGTCCACTCCATGTTACACATTTTTTCTGAAGTATTGTTGACACACAATCTTATAGTGGTTTCAAGTATACAACACAGCAGTTCAACAGTTTCCCATATTATTAAATCCCCCTCCCCCCCACTAGTGCAGTTTCTATCTGTCATCAATGGTATACATTTTTTAAAAGCCCTGCAAATTGGTTTATATCCAGCTGCTCACATTCAGGCTCACTTTCTCCAAGGTGAAGTGGGCCTGGTGACAACTCCGGCCCCTCCCTCCAGCCACCCGGCTACAGGGGCACGTTCAGGGACGCAGATGCTTGGGGACACCCGTCTGAGGCCCCGTGGCGCCCTGCGTTTCTTCTTTTTGGGTGTCAACAGAACAGTGGGGTAGGCAGCATTCGTTTGTGTGTTTGACTTTACGGAGACTTCTCATTTGGACGGACAGTGGAAGGATTTCTCTAGATAGTCACAGAAATCAGATATCAGAGGCTTCCCTATGGCTCCCCTAGAAATATTATAGTCTAGAGAGGCATTATCTATAAAACCTTTTTCTCTGAAAGATTCAGTACAGTATGAAGGATCTCATGGTAAATATCAGTGACTGAAATTCTCCTAGTTTGTGAATAATGACTGCCCTGGCCACCCCTTCCCTGTACACTGTTGAGTCATCTCCAAGTGTGGCAGTCCTCGCCTTCCGGCATCTTAGGCAAGCCTTCCGTTTGCACAGTCGGTTCCACCGTGTGCCGTCTCCAGGCCCAGCTCTGAGGGGAGAGGCCAGCGGCCCAGGCCGCTCCGACACCCCCCACACAGAGCCGGCCCCCGTGCTCCAGGGCCTGCTGGGTTGCCCAAGGCTGCCATGTGCAGGGTCTGGGCACAGGCCACACGAGAAACCTGGGTATGCTTGCCTGCTGTCTGATCAGCTGGTCTCCAGGTGCCAGGAAGGGACCTAAGGGCTTGGAGTCAGTGGCCCAAGGCACCTTCTGTGCCCGCTGTGGGGCAGGCCATTCACAGAGCTACCTGCCTGCGCTCTGCCTGCCATGGGGCGGAGCCGGGGCTGCTGTGTGAATGTGAATGTGCCAGGGACCGATCCGGCCTTGCCTGGAACACTGATGTAGAAACATTTTATACAGAGACTCATTAATAATTTCATGACTGAGTACATAGCAACGTGCGTGTATATGTCTGTGAGCTATTAATCTTATTCATTGTCATAAAATCTGGAAAATGGGGAAACATTTGCTAATTGCTTTCAAGAGAGGAGAGGTGCAAGTTTATAGTTAAATGTATGCAAAACACATTTTTGTTTTATGTCTTCATTTATGCTTGACCTATAGAAAAATGTAATCTCTTGGACACATAACCTAAACAACTTTACTTCAAAGGGAAAAACAGAAGTATGAAAAACTCTATGAATGACTTTTCTGATGAAGAATTATTTTTGTTTTATGTCTTCATTTATGCTTGACCTATAGAAAAATGTAATCTCTTGGACACATAACCTAAACAACTTTACTTCAAAGGGAAAAACAGAAGTATGAAAAACTCTATGAATGACTTTTCTGATGAAGAATGTCATCATTCCCAAATGGTGTCAAGTAGTTCTTTTCATCTAAATGAGTGGCCACGATATACATGTACTTCTGAGGTTGAATAAAGTTTTAGCGTACCTTTCCATGCCTCACTGATGGATGTAATAGCAGTGTATTACATGTAGGCAGTGGGCACATGTAGGTAGAACACTCTGAGGTGATCAGATATGCTTCTGAGTAGATAAAACGTAGGTCTCCAGGTTTGGGCACTGAATGTCTATAACTTCTTTTGGGGTTGAACTCCTACTGCATTAGAGATGAGGATCAGATTCTAGCCTATTTGCTCTTTGTACATTATTTTCATAAAATCGGTTGTCTGGTGATCCAGACCTCAAGAGACAAAAGTAGAAATGGAAGGTGGGGAAAGAGGGTACTTATTGGTGTTCACATTGATAAAAGCAAGAAAACACAGAGAAATGCAGGAAACTACAAAAAGCAGAGATCAAGAATTCAAAATATAAGGGGCCTTCCTATCTCATTCAGTTTTAAAATTCTTCCTTTATTATAGCATAGAATAGTAATTGATGTTCATAATGATAATATTGAATAATCAGCTTGGTAAACATTAATGATAGATGCCCTATAGCCAGTACATTTTATATTCACTTCCTAGTACATTTTCTGGTACGGACTCAGGAGTTTAACCACTAAATGTTGAATGATATTGTGAAAATGAACCTCACAGAAACATAATGAAATTAAGTACAGTGTATTTGTGTATGTGTGTGTGTTTTATAGGGATATTTCAAGAGAAGGGTATTAGAAAGTTTAAAAGATACCAAGAATAAAGCAAGTGAGCTGATAACAAAGAGTGTAAAAAAATAGATGAAGAAGCCATCAAGGATTATAGGAAAAGGTCAAGAATATAGAGCTTTGACAAATGCAGCGGTAACTTAGTGTAGCAGCAGAATTTGAGGTCTTTTGAAACTCATAGATTAAAGATTTAAGAAGGCTATAAATGAGGTCGAGGTAGTATTTGATATAGGAAATGATTAAGGTATAAATAAGAATCTCAGCATAGCCAAGACTCTGGGAAGGGCATATATTAGAGATGTTCAGGAATAGATGACAGACGAAAAGGCAGGGGAGGAAATGGTAAGTTCAAGTCAAGGATAACGTGACTATTTTGTGCCCTGGGAGCAATATAAAATGAGAAAATTTGCAGGAAAAATGAGCAAAACCAAATTACTGTCTAGCATAACTAGAAGGTAGGCTGCATTCTTTAAAGGATGAAGAATGAATTGGCATAAAAGTTCAGGAAGGTAATAGACTCAACTAAAGAATAAAAGAGGCAGAGAGAATAGTTTGAGAACAGTATAATTGTTAAATATTGTCATCGGAATTACAGAGGAGATCCGAACTGAGCCTTAATTGCCCTCATGAAGGGAATATTTTAGGAGTTAAGACTAGAGAAAAATGCACCAAAATAGATAGTTGTTCCTTGGACAGAAGGGCATGCATAATATGACCCAAGTGGCATCTTATTACTGGTGGTTTACCTCCCCATTAAGGGGTATGTGACTCAGCTTCTAGTAAGTGTACTTCCACATCTTCTAATTAACATGTGTTCACAAGAGAGGATGATACCTAAGGACTTTGACAATGTTTTGAGAATACATTGCAGTCACTCATAACTTATCAGTTAGAATTGCCTTTCCAGATCTTCTAGCTAATTATAAAAATAGGAATCATTGTACTTGGTGCTTTATAATAAATATTCAAGCAACCAAATCTGTAAAATACAACCTCGCAATTTAAGTGATGTCTTATAGCAGCCTAATGCTTGAGGCAATCCTGTTAACTGAAAACTTGAAATATTTCAAGTAAAATATTTAAAGAAAAGACACTGTCTTTAGATGAATAAAACCAACATGGCTGTAGCTGAGAAGGGCGGCTTCCTCTCCTGCCCGCCTCACCACACCAATGTATTTTCTCTTAGACGAATTTTTCTATCCATTTTCTGTACTTTTTTTCCACATTTTCTTTTGATTTAAAGGTACTCTTTCTATCAGCTTAATTAGTCTGTGGTACTGTTATATGCTGGAAAAAGTTTCTCCAGTTACTTATGTGTCTTTGTCATGGCATATGCTTTTGCACATGCTGGAATTTTCTAGTTTAGTGTATTAAAATATGACGCTTTTTAATTTTATAGCCTTTGTTTTTGTGCCATATTTATAAAAGCCTTCACCTTTGAGATCCTACTAATATGGTTTTATTATTACATCAGTATTTTATCAACTTGGAACCTATCCTTAGGTAGCTCGGTGGGTATGCTGACCTTTGATGGCCATCATTTATTTGGTTGTTTTTCTTTTCCCTAATTGAAATGCCACTATTACCACATAATACGTTTCCATATATTTTGGAATATGTCTGGAGTTTTTATTCTATTCCTAATGATTGCTATGTTTATTCATGCTTTAATATAAAAAAGCTAGTATTTTAACGTTGTTTCATTTTATTTTTCCCAGTAAATCTTTGGATTTAATTTCTTAGTTCTAAAAAACATCTTGTTGTTATAGGGAATGTATTAAATATTTATTATTGAAAAATTTAAATCTCTTGAAGTTATTACATTTTGGTTCTTCCTGATAAATTATAGAATTATTTTACTAAGTATTTTTTTCTCCAAAAATCCTTTAGGATTTTGATTGTATCATTAGTGACATTCTAGAATGATTTAGAAGTAATTTACACATTTACAATGTGGAGATTTCCTTTCTAAGAACTTGGTATTTGTTTATCTATTTAATCAAATTTACATTTTTTTCTTCAGTCGCATTTTATAGTTTAGTCACAAGTACTCAACTAAAATTAAGTAACCTGTGGATGTCTTTGACCACCATAATAGAAGGTCTAGTCACT